TGAATCTAAAAGGGTTCAAAAAAAATAAAGCCTATTTTTCTAATTTTTATTTTTTTGAGGAAGATTAGCCCTGAGTGAACATCTGCTGCCAATCCTCCTTTTTGCTGAGGAAGACTGGCCCTGAGCTAACATCCATGCCCATCTTCCTCTACTTTATATGTGGGACACCTACCACAGCATGGCTCACCAAGTGGTGCCATGTCCGCACCCGGGATCCGAACCGGCGAACCCAGGCCACTGAAGCGGAGCTGCGAACTTAACCACTGCGCCACCAAGCTGGCCCCTATTTTTTTTTTTTTAAATAGCCTATGATGCTTTAAAAAGGAAAGTCAATATAAGACTGGATTTTAGGTGTCTGCAGTCACTTTGCTTAACATAATCACTATTGCCTTCTAGGAACTTATAAGAAAGATGTTCCAGAGTCTAGAACCATAATTTCATGCTTCAGATTTTTTAAATTGAATTTAACTTCAATACTACTACTCTATTTTATTCTGAGATAGTCTGAGGAAGATGTTGGAGAATCAGATGTGGGAGGCAGTGATGAAACACTTTTTTTCTATGAAGAAAATCTTTGATTTGATTCCAAACTTATGGATTTTGAGGAGACATATAACACTTGTCACGTCTTATTTTTCACATTATTATCAGGGAGAACCATTCTCCTTATTGAAATCCTTCAGGTCAGATTTATACCAGGCTGGGCTGCAAATGCTTGGCTCCGTTTACTGACACCACCACTTGCTACCACTTATGAGGCACCTACTACATGCTGAGCTTGATGTCTGACACTTTACATGCATTTTCTGTAGTTCTCACAACCACCCCACAGGGACACTTTATTTTTCACAATTTATACATTAAAAACATTGAGATTCAGGGGCTGGCTCAGTGGCATAGTTAACTTCACGCACTCTGCTTCGGTGGCCCAGGGTTCGCTGGTTTGGATCCCAGGCACGGACCCAGCACCACTCATCAAGCCACGCTGTGGCAGGCGTCCCACATGTAAAATAGAGGAAGATCAGCACAGACGTTGGCTCAGGGTCAATCTTCCTCAGCAAAAAGAGGCGGATTGGCAGTGGATGTTAGCTCAGGGCCAATCATCCTCAAAAAAATAAAAATAAAAAAAATAATTTGAAATTCAGGGGCTGGCCCTGTGACCTACTGGTTAGGTTTGCATGCTCTGCTTTGGCAGGTCAGGTTCACACGTTCAGATCCTGGGTGCAGACCTACACCACTCATCAGCCATGCTGTGGCAGCAACTCACATACAAAACAGAGGAACACTGGCACAAATATTAGCTCAGGGCGAATCTTCCTCAGGGGAAAAAAAAAAAAGACTGAAATTCAAGAACATTAACTTTTCTAAGACTACACAGATAGTGAATAAAACAGCCAAGATTCAATCTGAAGTCTGCCCAACTCCAAACCCAGTTCCTTTCCATGGAACTATGCTGCCAAGTTATTGTGAAAATGCTTTAATTCAGCCCAGAATTCCCATCAAGCTCCTGACACCATCCTATGACTCTGTCTTTTGCAGCCTCTTATGCTTCTGTTCACCAGGATATATTCTCCCACCTTCTGATAATAGAATTGGTCACTTCTCCCCACTCTAAGTCCAAAAGACATGGCTGTGGGGTTGGGATACAACCCAAGTCTGACCAATCAGTATATTCCAACCCTTTTATTTACAGTGGTTTGTCCGGGTATGAACAGAGAGGACTCAGTTCCAGTCTTGTTTTGTTGGAACTGTGATAGGATTAGATGTAGACCTGGAGATGCTGGCAGTCATCTCACTGTTGAAAGAATGCCTGAGAATGGAGCCAATACAGAAGCCAGAGGTACAAGGAGACACAGCCTGATAAGGCTGCTCACACTCTGAACCCCACTGCACTGAAGCCAGGCTCTGCTCCCTTTCAGTTATGGCAACTCCTTTTAAGTTACCTCCAGTTAAGGCAAGTTCCTTTTTTTTTTTTTTTTGCATAAGCAAATATGAGGTGAGTTTCCTGTCTTTTGCATCTCTAAATAATATACTGTCCCGCTTATTTAAAAATGAACAGTTCAACATTGCTGGTGGAATTGCAAAATGGTGCAGCCACTGTGGCACAGTTTGGCAGTTCAAAATGATACACACGGTAAAAAACGAGTTACAGTCTGACTCAGCGACTCCATGTCCAGGAACTGAGAGCTCATGTTCACATAAAATCTTTTACACAAACGTTCACAGGAGCATCATTCATAATAGCCCCAAAGTGGGAACAACCAAAATGTCCATCAACTGATGGGTGGATTAAAAAAATGTGGTATGTCCATACAACGGAATATTACTCGACAATGAAAAGGAATGAAGTACTGACACACGCTACAACATGGATAAACCTTGAAAACACTATGCTCAGTGAAAGAGGCCAGTCATACAAGACCACATACTGTATGATTACATTTACATGTAATGTCCCAAACAGGCAAATCCACAGAGAAAGTAAATCAGTGATCGCCAAGGCCTGGGGAGAGTGGAGAACAGGCATGACTATGTGTACAGGGTTTCTTTTTGGGGTGATGAAAATGTTCTAAAACCAGATAGTGGTGATGGCTGCACGATTCTGTAAATATACCAAAAAACCACTACATTGTACACTTTAAACGGGTGGAATTGTGAATTATTTCTCAATAAAGCGGTTATTCTATTTATAGTTTGACTTTAAAATTTAACTACATTTGTAGTTCAACTTTACTACTTTACTACTGAAAATATAAATTTTGAGTATATGAAGGATTTCCTCTAATTATGATTCTGAATTGTTTTATACAAAACACTTTACAATAACTTCTTTTAATGAAGATAAAAATCATCAAGGAATTGTTACAAAGGACACAAAAATAACAAGGACAAAATTAACAGGGACAAAACTATACAGTTTTGATACTTCATGAGACATAATTAGATTTTTCTAGAAGTTTAGCTAAACAACTATACAGTAATATTTAAATAAATCCGTTTGTTTTATACAAAAGAAACACCCTAACACAGTAGAGTCTTGTAATGCCTTGGAGAACACCAATTTGATGCTTTAGGATTTTAATGTGTTGTTAACAAATTTTCAAACTCAGGCAAGTTTAGAAATGTCTTCATATTGAATTCCTTCAACTCTGCGTCCTTTTAAAGGGCCCTGCAAATTAAAATAATTGAAGAAAAGATTTAAAAAGACACACACACTTAAAAGACAAGAAAAGATGCTACACTTAGAGATAAAAATTTGTCTTTTCCATATCACTAAAATACCATTAGGAGAGTAAACATGTCTATATATCTATGAATTTTAAAAACATTCTATGGTATTCTCATTAAGAACTGCCACATTTTCTCCAATGATAGGTGACATGTGTTATCACCAGATGCTGTGGTGGAGACCTGCTGGCGGTTCGGTATCTCCTCTGGCTCCTGGATAAACAGTCGTATTTCCTAGCTCTCGTGATTAGGTGTGGCCATAAGATGAAGCTCTAGCCCAGAGAGATGAAGAGAAGTGTGTGTGCCACTTCCGGACCCAGGTCATGCTACCCTCCACACGCCATCGGTCACATTCCCCTCTGGTCGGCCTGAAGCACAGGGACACAGCAACTCTAAGAGACACTTGTTGAAGACGCTGGAGCCACAAGCTGGAAGGAGCCTGGGCTCACACATCACCCCTTAGAGAAGAGCTGTTCCCTAAGAAGATCCACTTTGGGCTCTTACAATGAGAAGTTAACTTCTATCATATTTGTGCCATCATCAATTTGGGGGTTTCTTTTGGTTATGGCAATTATCATTGTTTAATTTTAAGCAATATGTATACTCATACACAACCATGTTTGTTTAGCTTAGCTGTAATAGCTAGGATGGTCTTTACCCCAGAAAATGAGTCCAATTTTAAGTACATTTTCTTCTTCCCTTCACACCCAACAGAAAGGGAAAGAGGAGAACTGGATTAATGAAAGACAATGCCCGTCATAAAAGCCGACAGAGTCTGGGAACACAGAGGCTACGAACACGGGCTCTGGACCCAGACTGTCCAATTCAAATCCCACCTTCAGCAGGGGACTCAGTCCCTCGGGCCCCACTGTCCCCTAGTGGGGATAGTAACAGTATCCACAGTACTGGGTTGTTGGGAAATACAAATGAATGATACACATACAGTGCTTAGAACAATACCTGGAATACAACATGAGCATAAGCTTAATAACTGCGACACTTATTATTAAATCTTTTAGTTAAAATTTGAAAGCTGGTCAGCTCCCTTGCAAAATACAAAATGATTATGATGATGATAATGACAATGACGACGACTCTAATCTCCGACTGAAATTTTAACATTTTTTACTCAGAATCATACCTTCCCTTAAAAATGCTTTTTAAAATGCCATTCTTTTAATATATAATAGTGATTTATTTAAAGGAAGTAGGTTCCCAGATAAAGCATGACCCCGGCTGACTCTGATTACCCAGTCGGGAAGGCCTACTATCAAGTACACTTTCATGATATGAACTATGAAGCTGGGGAAGAAGAACAAGCCATACACGTGGCTTCCTTCGGCAATCAGCTGAAAGGCTGAGGCTGTTGTGGAATACTTTGTTAGATATTAAAAAATATGCTTAATAACTGTGCAAATTTCAAATGCTATGATACTGATACTAAAATTTAAGATGTCAGAAATGATAAAAACAACAGGAGAAATCACTTGCAAACCTCATGTGTTTCACAGCAGTGATTTGGATAAAACATGAGATATAAGAGAAAGAGACCCAAGTGCATACAAATATATATATATGTATTTGTTAATGGAGGCAGGCTGCAAAAGAAAAACCAAAAAAATCAGCAGGTGGGTGTCCTCTTCCAAGAGGACATGCTGCTTTGTCATCAACCAGAAAGGCTCTTCATGCGGATTTCCTGGCAGGTTCTGTCTCAGAGCAGCTCTGAAAGCAATTAAAGCCTTAGAGAGAAGACGACACTGTGGGTTTATAGCGAGGGCGGTAGGAAATCAGCTCTTGAAAATCATACAAACTGTAAACCAAAGGCATCTGGATGGAACCTAGAACATCCTCAATAGTAATCAGTTGTTTTCAGTTTCCCTGAGATGAAAACATGAAGCAGGATCTAAACTGCATAGTGTTACAAAATTAAAAAGTGGAGGAGAATTACTTTGCCAGGGAAATATGAGATTTTCCATGACCTTATAATGATTAAGCCAGAGAGAAAAACTTACTGAGTTTTTCAGAAAAACTCCGTCTCTTAACTTTGCCAGATTGATAAATTCCTCAAAGACATTTCTCTTTTCCTTTTTTTCCTATAGAGTTTATATCAGTGACAGTTTCTAGGTTAGTATTGCCAGACAAAGGGAAAAAAAGAAAAGAAAAGCTTAATTTACTTAAAAGGGATTTATCTCAAGTAAGGACCTAAATGGCTTTTCCAGAACACCTTCCTGAGACACACATTCCCTAATCAGTCCCCAGACGGGTTTAGGGAGCCTATGAACTTCTTAAGAAAACTCACAAAATTTGGCGGTTATGCGCAGTTTTTTGGAGAGAGTTCAGAATTTTGTTTAGACTCTCCAAGTGGTCCGTTATCCCCCCAAATACTAAAACTTACTGTACTGGAGATGAAAAAGTATTTCACTCAGAGATAAAGACACAGAGTACAGGAGTCCAGAGTTCTAGAAAGAATTAGGCAGAAAGGAAAAGGTACGTTTCAGGTCTTCCCTTCTGAAGACAGGTTAGGTCTCACTTGGCCTCACTCACAGGCCTGTCAGTGAACTACCAGTTCTAATCAATAAACAATTTTACTTGTACATCAGATTTCCTTAAATTAATTGCTTTACTGACCTCAGATACCTTAAATCCTTCATGAAAGAAGGGGGTACATTTTAAAAAACTGATCTCTGTGGCTTTTTCCCCATTAATTATAACTATACATTCCCCACGAATTATACCGTGCCAAATTGAGTTTTATATTAGATGTGAGAGGAAAAAAGTCAGGATCAAAACTGTCCATATTGTACACAATTTTATAAAATACAAAGACTGGAAAGGAACAGACCAAAATATTAATGGGGGTTACCCTTTGACTGGGGGATTACAAGTAATTTTTTAAATTATTTATACTACATTGTTTGTTTCAGGTTTTATACAATGAGCATTGCTAGAGACTGGATGTGTTGCACCCAAAATTCTTATGTGGCAACCTAATGCCCAATGTGATGGTGTTTGGAGGTGGGGCCTTAGGGAGTGATTAGGTAATGAGCGGAGCCCTCATGAATAAGCTCCCTTGCCCCTTCCACCATGTAAGGACACAAGGAGCAGGAAGCAGGGTGTCATCAGCGCCTTGATCTTGGACTTCCAGCCTCCAGAATTGAGAGAAACAGATTTCTGTTGTTTATTAGCCACCCGGTCTATGGTATTTTGCTATAGCAGCTGGAAGGGACTAAGACATATATGCATTTCTTTTAAAACCCGAAAATAAAATATTTTAGCAATGGTAGTCATCAGAGAAAAAAAATCTTACAGATTTCCAAATAGGAGAGAAGCAAATAAAAAACCCAAACTCTAAAATAAAACAAGGACCAATCCAGTGAAAAAGAACATGGCACATTTTTAAAGCATTTTGAAATTTGTCTTTGCGTAAACATACTTACAGTTTCAATGACTATAGTAGCTGAGAAAGTCTTCTCATTGATGGATTCTAAGGTACCTTCATTTCCTCTGTAGCCTCCATTTAAAACGAGAACTCTTTTTCCTTCAAAAGAAAAGAATATAACGCTGAATGCAAAGAAAATATCCACTTTTTTCTTCCACGTTGTTACAGCAAAATGCAATTACACTGACTGAACAAAACGAAAAACAAAACCTCTCTCTTAAAAGTTCTTAATCATTTAAGAGCTCTAATATTCTAAAGCACAGTTTATAGCTACTTTAATTACTATAACAGTATAAGACTCCTCATCTCATTCGGTTATTTGTCAAAGAGATACGTTTCAATTTTAGATTGCAAGAAGTATAAGAGACTTGGAGGAAATGCTCAGAGTCGAGAAGGAATTAGAAAAAATTTAGCTTATTTTGTCTCTTTTCAAAATCATAAGATGGTTTGGCAGTTTCATAAAAATTTAAACTTATGCCTACCATATGACTGAGCCATTCTATTTCTAAGAATTTTCCCAGTAGAAAAGAAATCATAGGTCCACACAAAGACTTGTACATGACTGCTCGCAGAAATTTTATTTGTAACAGCCAAAAACTGTAAACAACCCAAATGTCCATCTCACAACAGGTGACTGGACAAACAGTGGTGTATCCACACAATGAAACAGGACTCAGCAACAGAAAGGCGTGAACCACAGATGCACTGACAACAAGGACGATCCCAGATAATTACACTTAGTGAAAGAAGTCAGACCAAAACACAGGACACATGGTAGGATTTATTCATATAAAATTCTAGAAGAATACAAATGAATCTATAGTGACAGAAAGCAGACAGGTGGTACCTGGGGGCACACGGGAGGCAGGAGCGGAGGGGCGGCAGGGAAGGGTTTTAAGGGGAAATGAGGAAACTGGGGGGTGAGGGGCACACTCACTGTCGTGATTGTGGGGATGGTTTCACGGGAGTATTCAGGTTAAAACTTAGCAAACTGTATACTCTACACAAGTGCAGTTTATTGTATGTCAATTATATCTAACTAAAGCTGAAAAAAAAATTATTCTTAATCCATAAAATGAGTTTTATTCTAGGGGGAAAGGATCTGATAAGTGGAAGTTTTGGAGACTAATATTACCATCAAGACAATTAAGGAAAAGAAAAAGCAAAATAACACAGACTTTCACTTTACTATCTCAGGTAGCTAAATAAATACATTAATAATAACCCTAATGTGATTGATTTTTTCCAGATATGTCTGCATTTTGCTGCAGAAAAAAAAAAAAAAGATTCTAGGAAGGAAAAATTTATTCATGCCAAAATATAGCTTTCTTGGCAGACTAGTGAACTACCACATCACCTGAGGTCAAAGAGGCAACAGTTACATATTTCAAAAAAGGAAACTTGCATCCATAACTATCAAGTGATGTCAAAAACTTGTGGCTTTAAAAATGGCATCATGCATTGCGATGGCACACATATTGAATGGTCTTGCAGAAAGACTCACCCGGTGCTGGAATCACAGTTTCTAAATGAGTCTGGTCCAGCTTCAGCTTGTCTCCAGAGTCCATCAGCTTTACAACCGCTGTGTATTTGTCAATTACCTCCTGTCACGTAAAATCAACACTTTTATAATAGAAGAAATGGATGAACACAGATTTCAAAGGGCAGAAATAAATAAAATGAAAACAAATGAAATTCCAATCAAAGGATAAGAATAACTCCTCCTATAAACAACACTATTTTCTAAATTCCACATACGATTTCTCTATGGTTCTTAATAAAGAACTCAGTTCAAAACTTAGTTAAGGTTTTCATCTGTAAAGAATAAAAGACTGGTGACCTCAGAATGAGACTTTAAGAAATACAGTGAGGGCCGGCTCCATGGCCGAGTGGTTAAGTTCGCGCGCTCTGCTGTGGCGGCCCAGGGTTCGGATCCTGGGCGCGGACATGGCACCACTCATAGGCCACGATGAGGTGGCGTCCCACATCCCACAACTAGAAGGACCTGTAACTAAGACATACAACTATGTACGGGGCGGGTTGGGGAGATAAAGCAGGAAAAAAAAAAAAAGATTGGCAATAGTTGTTAGCCCAGGTGCCAATCTTTAAAAAAAAAAAAGAAATATAGTGAGAGGGATAATTTTGCCTAGCTTCAAGTACAGTAGAAGGGCAGTTTATATGCACAGGCTGGGTGCTGCAATGAAACTATATTTAGGAAACACAACATAGAGAAAAGGACTAGAGTGCTGATTTTTAAATTTTAAAATCCTAGCAGGGCTGGCCCAGTGGTGTAGTGGTTAAGTTCGGCATGCTCCACTTCGGCAGCCCAGGGTTCATGGGTTTGGATCCTGGGCGTGGACCTACACCATTTGTCAACCATGCTGTGGCAGCCACCCATAAACAAAATAGAGGAAGACTGGCACAGATGTTAGCTCAGGGCAAATCTTCCTCAAGCCAGAGAGAGAGAGGAAGATTGGCAACAGATAGCTCAAGGTGAGTCTTCCTGAGAAAAACAAACAAACAAATTCTAGAGAAGCCAAGACAGTCTCTCAGGCAAAACACAGGAAGCCCTCCCTGGAACTCTGGGGGCATAAACATATTGTCTATCATTAACAAAGAGAATGCAACTTACTGATCAGCAAGGCATGCACAATGACTTTAAGAGGTGCCAGTGTGATTTCACATGTACCATCTGCTCCAGTAAGAAAGCAGACCAAAGTTAAGCATAAACTTATGTTTGGAAATGAAATATTTCTCCAACAATTATGAATCCAGCTTTCCTGTTATGGAGCCATCAAGAACCTGACACACTGTGCTTCTGCTACTAGGACTTGATTTTTTGTGTGTGTGAGAAAGACTGGCCCTGAGCTTACATCTGTTGCCAGTCTTCCTTTTTTTCGCTTGAGGAAGACTGTTATTGAGCTAACATCTGTGCCGATCTTCCTCTGTTTTATGTGGGACACTGCCACAGTGTGGCTTGAGATCCCACACCCAGGATCCAAACCTACAAACCGCAGAGTGCACGAACTTAACCACTACACCATGAAGCTGGCCCCAGGACTTGATTTTTAAGGAATACCAAAAAGGCTTTACTCACTGCACCCCAGGCCTTTTCACAAATTTCATTTATAACTTCAAGTCCTTACCTTAACAATGCACTTTTTCTTATGATATTTCTCTCCAAGTTTTTTGGTTATAATTTTCACGATGATTTCCTAGAAAATAACAACAAAAAAATCAAGATGAAAGGAACGACAAAAATTATCTTTTCTGTTTTACATCTTCATCTTAAACCATGTTCACCAAAAATCATTGTAAAATGTAACCGCTCTGCTAACTATGAAATTTTGAAGTTCTAAGCCTTCCTAACAATGGTAAAACATTTCCTTAGTAACCTTTCACTCCTTCTTTCTCTTTTTATTCAACATGGTCACCAGGAGGAAAAAAATATATATCTCACGGCTCATTTCCCCAGTGAAGGTTTCTTGAAATCGAGCACTTCTATCTGTCAATCTCGACTCTATTAATTCAGGTCTTTCATAGGCAGCGTCTTTCTTCCTCTGCATCCAAGTAAGTGAACTGCACTGTAGGTGTCGGCTGCTGACGCGAACTCACGTGGCAACAGCCTCACTGGGAAATGCAGAAATGGGGCCTCTCAGCTCACGGGTGCTCCTTTCCACAACGCCCTTTTCTCATTATGTTGCTTTCAATTTTTGATACAGATGAGATTCCTCCAGATTAGTTCCTGCTAAAAGCATGGTTCTTCTGAGCATCTACTTCTCAAACGGGAGAGAAATCTGGGCTGATTTCATACTAAAGCACTCTGACTCGGCTTCTTCAGTGTTGTTTTCCCGATTTGGTCGAGCTAACAGCTGATAATGAAAATTAAATCACCTAACTTCACGCTATGTTCACTACTCTGATCCTATATTTGCTAATTCAAGTGAATACAACAGAGGTACCAGGTGGTCCCCAGTCCTTCATTAAGCCAGGCTAAAAATTATATTAACAAAAATTCAGTGAGGACTTTGGAAGTAGGACATTTAATAGTAGAAAAATATGTTTAAGAGAAGACTTGAATGGTCTTATTCTTAAGCCTGTATTCTACTAAGACATTCTAAATGAAGCCAAATAACGTGAAAACAGTTTCTCTGATTTAGCCAGAATATTTCCGGGCTAAATTTCTCAAAGGCTCTCATGGGTACACACTTATAATTTAAAAGATAACTCATTAAGTCATTGTACTTATTGACACTTGCTCACAATAGATCTGTTCAAAACCTTTCTTTCCTGAGTTTAAAAAATGAAGCTCTCCAATCTAGCTCTGTGGGCTGCAGGTTATTTTAACAAACATATTGCCCATTTCAGAGTGAGACACACGAGCACCATTGGCTGATTCTCACTTTTAATGTAACACTCTGTAAGAGGAACTATGAAGAAAATCTGAATAATTTATGATATGAGAAAGTTACCAAACAGAAAATAAAATGTAATTGAAAAGCTTGTCAGTGGGAAGAGACAATCCTTTTTGAACCAACTAAAACTTGGAATGCTTGCCTTTTTTTTTTTTGCTTTTGGTTTGTTTTCCTTTTGAACCAATGGTTCTTAACCAAGGGCACATCTCAGAATCACCTAGGAGGTAAGTCAAAATATGCATTTCACCCCAGGACACAGGATGGTGGCAGTACTGAAGTATACATATTTTGAAAAAATTTTTGAATTACTCTCTGGAAAAGAACTACTGCTTTAAGCAAAATTCTTGCTTACATTTTCATAAACAATATATGAAACTATTAATATTCAAATACCAGCTACTCCAACAGGGAAAACAAATCAAAATAACCCCGGGTAGTTCTTTCTTTTCTAATCTTCACTCAAACTTCTGCTCAGAGACAGGAGTCGGGGTGACTAAGGCACAAAGAAGCAGAGCTGGCCACCAGTGGAGAGCAGAAGCCACTCCCAGGGGATCCCGGGTCCCATTTTCTAAAGGACCTTGGGAAATCACTCTAATACTTTATGCCTCAGTTTTCTCAGCTGTAAAATGGGGATAATAACAGTAATTAACTTACAGGGCTGACACAAGAATTAACCGAAATAATTCATACAAAGTGCTTATTTTCTATTTAACACAGCAAGTATTTTCATATTAAATAACTTATTTCATGATCCTTCACATGATCCACAGGTAGAAATGGTTCCCATTGTCTAAGGACATAAACTAAGACATGGAAGCTAAACTATTTTCAAGCTAATGGGAGAATGCCTTTGAAGATCTGAATCAGAACTTTGGAGTTTCTGACCTTCAAGGTTATTATTAATCTTATTTTCCAAATCAGAAATTATCTAAATGACACACTACTTTTTACTTTACTGTAAAGTTGATTACTGATCAAACCAGCTCCTTTAAAAATAACTAGGCACCCTGAAAGTTCCATGAAAACTTCACATCTCAGTAAGTTCAAAACAGAGTATCAATAAATAATAATTTTTAAAATTATTTAAATGTTTGAAAATTATCTTAAAATAATAAGTAGTAATAAATACACAATAAAATACAAAGCTTTCCTTGAGTCTGTAAAATTAAAACCTGCTTTTTTCGACAGAGCACCCAAAGGGGTATTCTAAGTTCAATAAGCTATAAGTTGGAAAAAAAAATACGTCTGCATTTACAATTCTACCTTTCAATCCCATTTGTGAAAACGTAACCCTTTGTCTTATAGCTAAAACTGAAAATAATTCCAGACTTAAATTCAAGGAGTCCATGAACAAATTTCCCGCTACACTCAAGGAACATTACTGGTCTATACATATGAAGTTCCCCTCTGATAAGGGTACAACCAATACTTAAGATCAGGTAGAAAGGAGTCATTAAAGTTATGAATCTATCTATGTAATTTACATATATTTGAGAAATTCAGTCATTTATACCAAATGCTACTTAAATCATTCACTTAAAAGTACATTTAGAACTCAAGAAGCTCCAACTGAACACGTACAGGCTGTAGCCAGTAGTCTGTGCGGGCAGCTCTTTTCTTTTCTTCTTCAATCTGTAGGATACACAAGACATTCATAAAGTCACCTCTGTAAAATCCTCAATTTATCTTCAAATACCATTCTATTTAGCAAACAAATACCATAAAACACACACTTCACCGAAGATCAATATAATTTGCAAGCTCTGATAAATACAAATAAATATTTTTTGCAATTAGGTTTTGATTAAAAAAAAAACTTGAATTAAAAAAAGTATGCAATATGGGCCAGGGTGATCAAGGGGTTGATCCGGTGGCTGGGTGGTTAAGTTCACATGCTCTGCTTTGGCAGCCTGGGGTTTGCCAGTTCAGATCCTGGGCGTGGACCTATACACTGCTTATCAAGCCATGCTGTGGCGGCATCCCACAGAGAAGAATTAGAAGGACTTACAACTAGGATCTACAACTATGTACTGGGGCTTTGGGGAGGGAAAAAAAAAAAAAGAAGACTGGCAACAGATGTTAGCTCAGGGCCAATCCTCCTCACCAAAAAAACAAAAGAGAGTGATCAAAAGAAAAAAGAGCTGACTGGCCATTACAGCTATAGAGCATGCCCATCTTTCTCAACTGCTTACTAAACCAGAAGTACCAACTTTCAATGGGATGGAACAATGTAATTTTTGTTTGATTCTAAACCTCATTTTAATTCCTCCAACTTCCCAAAATGAACAAGGAACATTCTAAACTTAGCATATATTATATTCAAAGGAAGAGGATCTGGCTTTCCCTTTTACTCTGAATTAAGCTCAAAGACTCCCTGTCATGGCTTATGACCTTGATAGTGTTGTCAAGAGTCTTACAACCTCTACGGTGTTGTCACAGTCTTACGACCCCTACAGTGTTGCCCTAACTCTCTCTAACCTCAAATGCGACCACTCTCGTGCTCACCGTGCTTGAGCCATATGGATCTTCCTTCGGATGCTTGCCTTAGAGATGCTCCCTGCCTTTAGCAACTTTCCCCACGTGACCTCCCCACTCCCAGCCCTCAGACCTCCTCAGCACTTAGCATTTTGTAATTACGCATTTACTGGTTCACTTGGCCATGGTGTGTCTCTCTCGCTACAATGAAAGCTCCGTGACACACAGGGACTGTGTTTTTCTCCCTACTCTCCAGACCCAGGACTCGCACAACGCCCAGCCCCTAACAGTGACTCACTATCTGCTGCATGATGGAAGGACCACATCTCTTAGGGTACACATCTTACACTTCACTTCAAGCTTTTCAGACTGCCCCACATTGTGTGAGGACTCAGTAACAGGGGAAACCAACAGTTACCTCCTCTCCCTTCACAAGTGAAGAAAAGGGATGGGGAGACTAGAGGAAATTATATTACAAGGAAAAATGTTAGCTTCTGTATCCAGGTATTCTTTCTCTTTGCCTGGCCTTCCTCCTCTCTTCCACTTACTTCCTACATTCATTGATAAGGCAAGCCTATGGGTTGGGGGGAGAAAGGAATATTTAGGAGTATATCAAGAACCTTCTGCAGAACTGCTCTAGAGTTTCAGAGTCAAAGTATGGCCCTGGATCCAGATAATCATAGGTTTTCAATGATCAATCACATTAACTGAGCCATCAGGTCAAATCAAATTAGAAAATACATCACAGCTTCCTCTTGCTGGCTAGGAGGTGGTTGGTGGTGGTGGGAGGGGGGTCCATGGAGGATGCCAATTTCATAGAGCCCCAGAGGGGGACAGAGCTTGCATTTCTAGCCCCACGCACCACTGGCGTCCTTCTGATTGAACTCTACTGACCACAACCCCACAGAGAGCTTTAAAGGCAGCACTCGAGGCAAGAAAATATACAGTTGGGAGGGGCTCCAACTCTGTTCTGATGTAACTGCGTCTGGCTGCTTTTCCCTAACCCAGTACATGCATATTTTTCTAACTGTATAGTAATCTAGTAAGTGGTGAAACTATTTAACTTCCCTTGGTGTGAACTATATCATTCCTCTTAATTGCTAAGGAGTCGAAAGCAGCTCAGAAACTGTACCTCCATGATCTCATCGAGGGCAGACTTCTTTTTCTTCTTTTCTTTCGACTGAGTGGAGCTCTGGGAAGATTCCTTCCGTTTCACTGAAGCTGCATTTCCTATGGTCTTCAATGCACTTGGTCCCAAAGAACTGATAAAAAGAAGAACTGTGCTTGTTAACAAACTATCTACAGAGGAACAATACAGAAGAAATCTGTTACGTGATTAATTTATAACAGATTAGTCAAGGCCAAGCAGGACCTGTCTGTATCTCTTACACAGCTGTAAGCACCACAAGAACACGTCCTTCCTGTCTTCCTCCCTCTCCCTTCTCCCCACCCCCAGTTAGTGCCGCTATAACCAGTGCAGTGGAGTGACGACAGCTTCGGCTCTGGCGTTAGGCAGATGAGGGTCTGAAGCTTCTTCTGCTAGGACCGTGTGCAATAACTTTTCTAAGCCTCAGTTCTCTATCTATAACTGTGGATAATGATGTGAGCCAACTCATAACTCGACTGCAAGGATTAAATGAAATGTTTGTAAAATGATGGCTAGAAGCCTAGCACACTACTGTCAGTTCTATTCTGCTAAAGGAAAGATCTCAACGTGTCACTTAAAAATTTTTTATTGCTCCTGCCTGCCTAGAGTTGACAGTGTGAATTCCACATGTTTTAGTGCCAATATAAAATTGTCACCACTGGCCCCGGAATACTATCTCTGACTTATGTACGTGAGTCATTCTGAACAATCTGCTATTGAATGAGCCATGCCCTGTGCTTCATGCCTTTGCAAATTTGCACATGCCTTGTTTACACGTAAAATAATCTCTCCATTGATCTACATTTCTTAAAATTCTTTAAGATCCATCCTTCATGAGGCTTCTTGGATCCTGTCATTTTTTGAACTGCCATAGCACTTCGTGGCAGGTGTCACATGCCCTCTTGTACTATAATCATTTATGCATGACTCCTCTCTCATAGTAGGGGAGGAACCATATATTATATACACATACATATATTTTTTGCCCAGTAAAGTAGCAGTAACTATCTCATAATTCACATAAAACAGACTCTCAATTAATATTTGCTGACTAAATAAATCTTACCAATCTAGTTATTTGTCATATTTACAAGACATGAAACAGAGAATAAACATTTGCACAAAGCTACCATGGAGATAACCAAGAAAAAAAGTGTAATGAATAGAAAATACGACAGAATTATGATTTTCCATTATTTGGAATTTTTTTCAAAAAAGGCATTTAGAGGTTGCATCAGATTTATCGGCAGCCTGGTTACTTTAAGGACTCCCATTCAGCTCACAGTTGACTGAAATCCCCACATCTTTTCTACATAGGCGATTGTCATTCAGGACCCTCCACTGTCTCTGTGGAGGTTGCTCTCTCTGCTTAACTGCAGGGCTTTATACTGACCCTTGTGAAAGTTCACTTACTGGGTTTTGCCCCATAATTCAATCCTCTGAACTATTTTTAAGTTCTGAGTCTCTTACTGAACAAATTTGCCAGGTTTGTGATGACTGTTAACAATATATACCAGTTGTGAACAGATTAAGGCCATATAAAGATAAACTCTTCAATTTGCACTTTAAAATAAAAGTTCTTTAGATTTACATGTTCTCTAAGCTGGGAATCTACCCAATTTAGCAACAATCCCAGATCATGGTCACCCACAGTGCGTCTGTGGAGTAAGTACCCATAATCCCAGCACAGGGGAGTTAGGATGCAGCGCTGTTTCGGGGTCTAGTGGTTACCTCTTCCTCTTTGTACATTCACAAGCTACCTAATTCCTACTGAAATCAGTAGGAAAAACTTGCTACTATTGTTTTCTGAAGTTTTTCTCCAGTTTCTGAAAAAACATTTGCTTATTTTTCCGCATTCTGCCTTTTCTCACATGCTCCATGATTTCTCAAATATTATCAACAATGAGCCTTCAAATAAATTTATAAATTATTTCAGTATTTTGGTATTTGTCTCAGCTTGGAAACTTGGGGTTATTTTAGGCTGTTAGACACTTTTCTTAAAACTCAACTTAAAAAAAAAAACCCAATTAAAAAATGGGCAATAGACATTTCTGCAAAGAACATATATAAATGGCCAAAAAGCAAATGAAAAGATGTTCGACATCACTAATCACTAGGGAAATGCTAATCAAAGCCACTATGAAATACACTTCACTTCCATTAGGATGGCTATTATTAAAAAAACAACAATGGGGACAGCCCCGTGGGCGAGTGGTTCAGTTTGCGTGCTCCGCTTCGGCAGCCCAGGGTTGCATCAGTTCAGATCTTAGGCGTGGACATGGCACTGCTCATCAGGCCACGTTGAGGTGGCATCCCACATGCCACAACTAGAAGGACCCCCAACTAAAAATACACAACTATGTACCGGGGGGCTTTGGGGAGAAAAAGGGAAAATAAAATTAAAAAAAGAAAACAACAACAACAAAAAAAACAGAAAACAACAAGATTTGCTGAGGATGTGGAGAAATCAGCACCCTTGTGCACTGTGGGTGGGAATATCAAATGGTATAGCTGCTGTGGAAAATAGTATAGTTGTTCTTCAAAAAATTAAATGCAAAATCACCACACTAGCAGTTTTACTTCTGGGTATATACCAAAGGAACTGAAAGCAGGGACTCAGATTCCGGGGCACCAACGCTCAGAACGGCATTAGTCACAGTAGCCAAAAGATGGAGACCACTCAAACATCCACTCACAGACGAACAGACAAACAAAACGTGGTATACACGCACAATGGGAGATTATGCAGCCTTGAAAAGGAAGGAAATTCTGAGACGTGCCACCACATGGATGAATCGTGAAGACAGTGTGCTAAGTCAAAAAAGCCAGACACAGAAGGACAGTGACTCTGATTCCACTCACATGAGGGAGCCAAGTTTAGAGACAGAAAGCAGGACACAGGTGACCAGGGGCTGGGGAGGCGGAGTGGGAGCTGGCGTTTAGCGGGAGAGAGTCTCAGTTTGGGGTGATGGAAAAGACCCAGAGACGGACACTGGAGATGGTTGCACAATGTGAATGTACTTAATGCCAATGGACTGCTACTTAAAAATGGTTAAATGGTACGTACCATTTCACGTTATGGATTTTTCACCACACAAAAACACTAAACTGAACAGAAAAAACATTTTCTATCTGGGTTGGCCCCGTGGCGCAGCAGTCAAGTTCGCACATTCTGCTTTGGCGGCCCAAGGTTCACTGGTTCAGATCCTGGGTGTGGACATGGCACCCCTTGGCAAGCCATGCTGTGGCAGGCGTCCCACATATAAAGTAGAGGAAGATGGGCATGAATGTTAGCTCAGGGCTAGTCTTCCTCAGCAAAAAGAGGAGGATTGGCAGCAGATGTTAGCTCAGGGCTAATATTCCTCAAAAAAAAAAAAGTTTTCTATCAAGAAAATGTATTCAGCATTATTAAATGTTTATAATGAGACAACCAATGGATCAGAACAGCCCATCAGGATCTCATGCTAGAGCGGGAGTACAGACATGGAAGGGCGTTCCAGGGAGAGAGAACAGAAGATACAAAGGCAAAAGGAGGGGGGCAGCATGCCACATTTAGGAACTGCAATTAGTGTAGCATAGCTGGAGGACAGACAGCAGGATATAAACCAGATCACAAGCACTACACATGGTATGTAAAAACTGTCAGAGGTGGGGCCAGCCCAGTGGCATAGTAAAGTCTGTGAGCTCCACTTTGGTGGCCCGGGGTTAGCAGGTTCAAATCCTGGGTGTGGACCTACATACTGCTCATCAAGCCATGCTGTGGCGGCACCCCACATACAAAATAGAGGAAGATGGACACGGATGTTAGCTTAGGGACAATCTTCCTCAAGCAACAAGAGGAAGATTGGCAACAGATGTTAGCTCAGGGCCAATCTTCCTCACCAAAAACAAAACAAAACAAAAAAGTTAGAGGTGTTTCCACAGATGATGACTAAAGACACTGAGCGTCTTTAATAAGAGAAAGACTTGGTAAGATTTGATGTTTAGAAAGATCTTTCTGCTTGCAATATCAAGAATCTAGCAGAGCTAAAATGAATAACAAAACATATAAAGAATGTTGACAGAGGAAATTATGAAGGATAGAAATTAATAAAATAGAAATCAGAGAAATGATAAAATCAAGAAAATAAAGAGTATTCTAAAAAATTAATAAAATAGATAATAAATTTGAATGCCTAGATGAAAAGGATATTCTAGAAAAATAAAAATTATACACATTATTGAAACTGACTTGAGATGATATTGAAAAGTTGAATAAACCAACAACCACAAGGAAAGTAAACTGGTAGTAAAAACTGCAGAAGACACACACACAATATTTTACAGAAAAGTTTTACTAAGCTTTCGAGGAAGTTATAATCCCTATCTTAAAAATACTATTTAGAGAGTCAAAAAAGAATACCTACACAAAGCATTTTAACAGTTTAATATCACCAGAAGCACAGAAAATTAAACATCTCACTTATGACATTAAAGTAAAATGCAAAGTGAACAGTTAATTTGTTTCCAGCTGTGTATTATATTTAATCTTACACCTGCTGCGGTAAAATAATGCCCTTCCTCCCCAAAAAAGATTCTATGAGAGGGGAGAGACTGACATAGGGTCAAGAGGGGGTTAGAACCAAGGCAGGACATGAACATTAACAGACTGGAAATGGAACATGAGGCTTCTAGAACAGCCCTAGAATTCTGCCTTCGGTAACTCGAGTGGGTCCTAGTGCAATCTAAGGAGACCAAGAAGCCCCAAGGGAAAAGGGGCGTGGGAACTGGGGAAGCTCTGCTCAAGCAATGGGGAAGCAGGGCTCACCTTCGTGCCTCAACATAGCCTAAAACACCCACTTCTGCTATCTAGATCCTTTAGTTCATTCTGCATTTTAGACATACGAGAGAGAAATCCACAGGAAAATAAACCCCAACCTCCATAAAAATACAGCACAATCTCGGAAAAAGAAAATTTAGATGAGGCTTTCCACTGTGCCATCTGTGACACTATTTACACACTATTACAGATAACTGAGACTGAATTTACAGAACTTGGTCAACTAAAGCTAACATTTTTACTAATAATATGAAGGTGGGCATACGGTGTAGTAGGCTGAACAGCCGACCCCTAAAGATGTGAGGCCTTCAGCCTTGGAACCTATGAATGTTACCTTATTTGGGAAAAGGGTCTTCGCAAACCAGATTAAGGCAAAGATTTTAAGATGAGATTACCCTGGATGGTCTGGGTGGACCCTAAAGGCAGCACACATCCTTTTAAGAGGGACCTGATGCAGAGGAGAAGGCAACGTGAAGGTGGAGCAGGGAAATTGGAAGACACTGGTCTCGAAGACTGGAGGGATGCAGCCAGAACAACGAATGCCAGCAGTCACCTTCTGGAAGCTGGCAGAGGCGAGGAACAGCTCCCCCTGAGCCTCTGGAGGAGCACAGCCCTGCAGAGCCTTGGCCTCAGCGCGGTGACACTGATGTCGGAACCCCGGGCTCCAGAGGCCGGGCAAACCTCTGCTGTTTCAAGCCGCCCCGGTTGTGGTCGTCTGTTACAGCAGCCATAGAAAGCTAATGCCAGGGGGCCGCTGGGACCGACCCTCACATCACCTACACTCACGAATAACAAATAATGCAGGAAAATGCAGAGAACGTATAAGGGGCTAGGACTATAAGGCGTGTGTGTGATGATATATTTGAGCCTGTCTTCCAGGTCATGTATGTAGGTGTTAATTCTGAAATGCTGTGATTAAAGACAAGACATCTGGGAAGTCTTTCTGAAGCAGCACACACCGCTGACTCAGCGTACCTACTTCCTCCCATTCTCCTGGACACTTATTTAGTCATGCAAATAAGCACTAGCCTATAAATTAACCCAAAAAACTGAGTTAAATAAACAACACGTAAAATAGCAACTATCACTCAGCTCAAAACTAAATTCCAGTAGATACTGGCACCTTCCTGAATATCTTATTTGTCTTTTAACCTCCCTAACTAAACTGAATGCATTGCACACCGCAAACAGTGAGTAAATATTTGGGAAAGAATACATAAAACTGCAAGAGAAGAGAACGTGCAAAGTAGATAGAACTACCTGGCTGCGTGCTCTACCAGGGTTTGGCAAACTACAGCCTGAGGGCCAAACCCAGCCTGCTGCCTGGTTTTATAAATAAGATTTTCCTGGGACACAGCCATGCTTGTTCATTTACGGACTGTCTAGGGCTGCTTTCTCATTCCGACAGCAGAGTTAAGTGGTGGTGACAAAGACATATGGCCAGTAACGTCTACAATATTTACTATGCGGCCCCTTACAGAAAAAGTTAGTCGCCTCCTGCTCTGTAGTACACCATCTAGAGGGGAAGGCCATTAGTACTGAGTGTCTGTGGGTGCATTTATACTGTGCTAGGTCCTGAGCAGACAGTGGAATAAGTCAGTCTTTATTCTTAGAAAATCATAATACAATGGTAAAACAAAAAGTGTATACCCCAGGTAACATTTACACTTGGTAAGTAGGCTACGAGAGAAAAATAAACAGTACTGCAGTAGCATAGAAGGAACCTTTAAGAGAAGGATTCGCAGAGAAGCCAAGTGTTTATCATGTGAAACATTTAATCATTTAATCAGAAGGAGCTTTTCCTCAAAAGACAGATTCATCATAGGCAAATAAGAGAAAAATAGTTGCTAAAAAAGGAAAACAACCAACCATCAAACAAAAACAGAAAAAGAAAATTACAACCAGAGAAAACTATTTCACAATAGTGCAGCTTTTCAAACATAGTGATCAACATTTCACAAATACTCTCAAGTTCTAAGATACCTGTTTGTGTAGCTCACCTTGACTTGGAAGATGTTGCTGCTGAACTACATGCTCCTTTATTCAAATTAAATGTAACTGGAAGAAAAGAATTGGTATTCTATATATATTTCAGGAAAATTACAATAAAACTTATCAGATAAGATACCACAGTGTATCCACATAGAAATTCACAGACATTCTGAAGAAGTGAGAGCTGGAGTGCTCCTACCCAGATGATAAATTCCTGTAGAATGTACTAGAATGATGCTAAGAGCTGGGGAAGACTTTCATGTGATGAGATGTAGCAGGCAGCCTTGGCTGTGTCCCACTGCACTGCCCCCTCTTCCCTTGCTAATAGGAATCCACTTTTGTTTAGGTGCCCATACCTCACACACATGGCCTGGAGGATGCTATGTCTGAACGTTTATGTCCTCCCAAAATTCACAGGTTGAAAACCTAATGTCCACAGTGATGGGAATAGGAGGTGTGGGCCTACTGGGGGAATTAGTAAGGTTCTTTTGGTCTACATCAATCAAAATAATCCTATTCCTTTTCCCAGTGATTGTTTTTGAGGTGGACAAGTGACACAGTCCGGCGAATGATATTCGAAAGGAAGCCTGTTGGCGCAGGAGTGCCTTCTAGGGAAAGTTTCCCTGCTCAGGGGACTCCACAAGAACCATGCTCTCTGTCATTCTCTGGACGATGCTGGGCCTGCATACGATGGCTGGAAGTACTGGCAGCTGCCTTGTGTCCAGCTGCCGAGAGTATGGCAGCAGAACCACCCTATCTCTGGGACTCTTGGTAGGGCAAGGTTTCTCTTGATCGTTTACGCTAATTTCAGTCAGTCTTATTACCCTTTCATTTTATCAATGAGGACAATGCAATCCAGACAGATTACACATTTTGCTCCCAAACACATTGCTAGTTTTTGGCAAAGCCACTACAAAAGCATCCATATTAAAAAAAGAAGAAAGAAAAGTAAAACTACCTTTCTCTTCATCATTTTCTCTGCTTAATTCCGTAAAGACAGGAGCCTCCTAAAATAAAAAAAAAAGGTTTGAAGGTTTGGTTCACAATGCACTTACTATCAATATTCAAGTCCTAAATTATGACTTGCTACCTACGTTGCAAGGCAGCTTTACGATGCAATTCTAAAATGGTTAAGAACCTAATTAAGAAATTATATGTATTGCAAATATTCTCCAATGGAGAATTATTATAAAGGGGAAAAAAGTAGTTTTGCTGTGCCAGACTGTAGAAGTTGACCTACATTACTATTTCTGTTACAATTAAAGCAGGAAACAACAACAACATAAAGCAATAAACTTTAAGAATCTTAGCTACAGGATTACCTTAAAAAGCAAAACCTTTCTCTATGGTGGATAATTTAGTGTAATGATCGAGTCTAAGACTAACTCAAATAAAACTGCAGCTCCACCTCTGCGACCTATTAGCTTGTCCTCTTGGTCGACCTCACCATCTCCCTGAAGCCAGAGTTATTCTATCTTTAAAACAGGGACAATGTACATATTTAGAGATGTTCTAAGGGTTACATAGGATAATATAAAGGAAACATTTAGCATATGCCTGCCATAATAAGTGCTTGGTAAATGTTAATTATTGTTTCTATAATAATAATAAAAAAAGATGTTCTTGAGATCTAGCTAAAATGTTCTTTTCTTAGGTAATGTCCATATAAGATTTCACAAAGGAAGGCGAAAAAAACATGATCTCACTTTCAAAAAAATTGACATATTTAAATTGCAGAATGAAGTAGTGCTGAGGAATAGAATTTCCCCTGCCTTTTAGGATAAAGATACTATTTATACCTGAAAAGTACAAATTAACTTGAAGGTTTTTAGCAGTGTTAAGCTAAAATGTTACAAAATAATAATGTTACTCCAAGAAGTAAACTACTTTCCTCTGTATGAGAAGATGTGATCCTTCTTAATTTCCACAATAGGAAATTATAATTTTTCTTCTATTGAAAACAAAGGTTTAAATGTTAAAAAGGTGAAAGAATTGTGAGAATAAAAAGCTTTCAATCTTAAGCAGGAGGTTAAATTTTATAATTACAGCAGTTGAACCACTGCTCCTATTTTAATTTAATGTAGAAAACTCCTAAAAGATGGTGTGAATATAGGCATCTTAATGTAAGCAATATCATAACATTTATACATTCACTCGTCAACAAGTTCAATTAACACGGTATAAAAGTTGATTCACGAAGCGATCCTTACTGAGGTCTTAATTCTTACTGCCCGCTGCTTCCTGCACCATTCTATTCTAAATGGCTTATTCAAGATGTGTACAGTAATGACCAGAGCAGCTGTATTCACAATAGCCCAAACTGAAATCAAACCACGTGTTTCCAACAGGAGAAAGGACAAATAAATTGTGTTATATTCATAAAATGGAATACTATACATCAATTTAAAAAATAATGAAACACTGACAGGAAAGAACATAGGTGAAGTAAGGAAGCTAGACACAAAGAGAGCGTACTGTACCATTCCATTTCTACGAAGTACAAGAACACACTAAACTAACCAATAATCAGTAAAGGTGCATCAGAGGAGTGGCTCCTTCTCGGGGGACGGTGGGTATTGATTGGGAATGGGCATGAGGGAACCTTCTAGAATGCTGGAAATGTTCTATATCTCGATCTGGGTGATGGCTACACAGGCTGTCTATCTATCTACGTAAGGAAACACATACATAAAAGTTCATTGAGCTGTAACCTTAAGATCAACGCACATCATACACTTTATTACATGTACGTTATACCACAATAAAAAGTTTCTAAAGGTGGGCGGGCCCCGTGGCTGAGTGGTTAAGGTTCTGTGCACTCCGCTTTGGCAGCCCAGGTTCACAGGTTCAGATCCTGGTGCAGACCTACTCCACTCATCACCCATGCTGTGGAGACATCCCACATATACAAGAGAGGAATACTGGCACGGATGTTAGCTCAGGCCTAGTCTTCCTCAAGCAAAAAAAAGAGGAAGATTGGCAATGGATGTTAGCTCAGGGCAAATCTTCCTCACACCCCTCCAACCCCCCCAAAAAAGTTTCTAAAAATACTAAATGGCTAGTACTTTCACATACACACTAGGCTGCATTTTCCTGCTCCCACACAACTTTCAGCCTCTAAGCTCTATGAGGGTGGGCACTTCTCTTTTGTCCATTGCTGTATCCCCAGTGCCCAGAAGGGGGCCTAGCACACAGGAGGCACCCAATAAACATTTTTTGAAATAAATGCCTATTCTAGTCATTCTACCACCTGAACCGCCTTGACCACGCCTCCCGCACCCCCTCATTCCCCCCCACCCCGAATTCAAGACTCCTCAGCCCAGGGGCTGTACCTCCCTTTGAATAGTCTACATCCTCCTCCCCAGGCTGGAGCCCTGCTGGCTCTCTGTGTTCCCACACGCTGTGTTTCCCTCCAGCACTGCACTAATCACAAGCAGTTGAAATGACCTGTTTATGTCATCCCCACGTCCCCATGAGATATCGTCTCTATTTAGAGATAAGGGAACTGAGGTGTAGATCAGAGAATTAGACGAGATCGAGAAGGCAGTCAGTCAGGAATCGCCCCAGGTTTGTCTCAACTCCAAAACCTGGGCTTCCACACTCGGCCGTGCTCTTTCTCCTCTTGATTAAGGAACATACCTATAAACCTCAACTCAAAGCTTAAAAAAGCAAGTGCTTTTGCTTCTGCAGACCTTTTTCTATTGCCTCTCTGCAGGTGGGATGATACTGTGGCCCACCTGTTCTTTCCCTTCCAGACCTCTTCTCACTTGTTCTTGAATGAATTTGGCAGTCTTTTCCTCATCGTCGAGGTCCTGCTTCTTCTTTTTCTCTAGTTCCAGTTGCCGGCGGAGCGTTCCCGGGTCCCTGTCTATATACTGAATATACCAGCCTTTCGGTGTCTCATCTACTTTGCACAAGCCTTCAAAAAACAACAGACATCATAAATCTGTATACGATCAAAGCCAAAAGTAAATATAAATGTGTTCTCATTCAAACACACTGGAATACACAAATTCATGCAGCACATGAATTTTCCATATTTACACTTAGTGAAAATCAGATATTTTAAGTGGAAAAAATTATTTTATCTCCTTAAACAGAAAAAATTATTATTCTGATTTTTAACTAGCTACGTTGAGGCAACTTATTTAAACAAGGGAAATATGTGAAAGAAGCATTAGCCCGCTTAGTAATTATTCAACTGTGTCTAAGTATTTAACATCCGCTGAGTACATCATGTTCTGCTAAGTAGAAATTATCCCCCTAAAATGGAATAAGGTGACACACTGAATAAGTAGTATAGTGACATAAGATTTCTTCCTCTTTCCTTCTCCCAAACTTTTCATCCTATTAAAAATGGGAAAAGCAAGAGAAAATTTTAAAAATCACCTTAAGAGGGAATAACAAAAGTTTCCTAAAGTGAAATGAATACGGATGGGGGGCGCGGATGGAAGAGGACTGAAGATAATCCTTAACTTAAATGAGAAGACGCTCCAGGGAGAAATCTTTGCATTGTCAAAAGAACTATTCCAGACATTCCTATTCAACTGCAAGACACAAAATCAATCCTGGAAGACCATGCTCCTCCCTACCAGTTTTTAATTGCCCTATTCATCTTCTTTTCCATAAATTTACACAGAAAAAAGATGACAATTCTTTCTCCCTGCAATGGAGCCACATGATAATTATTCAAATAACGTCTTCTTCTTACCTTCTCTGCCCAGCCACTTGGTAAAATCAGTCAGTGTCTCCCATTGAGTGGCATTCATATGGATGTGCTCTCGGTGGCTGATATACTCATTATAAACAATGTTGTTGTGCACTCTCTTAGTGCCTGAGAACAAGACACGACATGTGAATCCTGGGCAGATTGTAAGATCACGAAGTCATCGTGCGCACAGAACTTAAGAAGCTTACCAAAGCGCCTCCTGAGAAGTTCCAGGAAGTCATTTCGGAATTCCCTAATGAAGAAGGGAAAAAAGCCTCAGGTGATTTCTACAAATACAGAGCATCATCTTCCTGAAATGTAAACTATTATACAGTTTGAATGCCCAAACGATCTATGAACATGTGTGTGAATATTTGTCAGGAAACTTTACAACTGAACGCGGAAAGAATCCCAAACGATTACAGTTTTCAAGAATTAAAGTTAAAAGTCAGTTTGGAGTTGAAACGTTTTGTCTTGGCAAAGCAGCCACAGCAAAAGTGACTACAGAGCTTTGGAGAGGGTCCTTCAGGAAGTCTCTTAGCGCCACTGGCTGTGGCATGATAACCCCATTCTAGCAACGATAACAAAACTGCCCTTTTCCCACATGAAATTGGCACTTAATGTGTCCCTCTGAACTGAGTCCACTGTGTTAAGTGCTAGATAAACGCAGGCGAATAAAACATAAATCTTGACGGAGGTTAAAACAGAACAGAACCAATCCTAACAGAGGTCAAACTGAAAAAGAGATGTAACGAAATATCATAGGAAGAGTAGCAGGAGATGTCGGGGGGATCTCTAACATGGTGTGAAGTATAACGAGGACTTTCACAGGGGAAGAGGAAGGGAAGGCCACTCCCAGCTGGCACAGAGACGAAAGCTTCGCAAGTCTAAAAACGACAATCTAATTTGGCTAAACTGAGGGCAGACAACAATGAGCGTGAGAGCGGGGTGGAAGAGAACAATGAGGGGAAGATGGAGCTGGAAAACAACGTTAGGGCTGTTTTAAAGTGCCTTCGATGTCATGTCAAGAGGTGGGGTTTTACGCAGACAGTGGAAAAGTACAAAATAAGTTATTTAGAAGTTAATTTGTAAAGATCTGTGACTTAGAAAGACAATCCTGGTGGACAGCATACAACAGTAATTCTCAAAGCGTGGTCCCCATCGCTATCACCTGGGAGCTTGACAGAAATGCAAGGTCTCCAGCCCCATCTTAGAGCTACTGAGTCAGAATGTGTTGTCATGTTTTCAAGGTGACACTGCTGCCCGCAGTGGTTTGTGAACCAGGGGCACACAACACGCAGAGAAGAGCAGAAGCTGCAGGTTGGCAGACCAGTGAGGGAGTCACCGAACTAATTTAGCTGAGAGACGCTAAGAACGATTACCAGGGCTGTGAGAATGAAAGGACCTAAGTTGAAAGAGCACTGAACAGAGAATCAATAAGAGGGAACTCCCAGAGGACTCGGAGGTTTCTGGCTTAGCAGTCGGGAGAGGCAGTTACTAGCCAGCACTGCATAACAAGGAGCTGTGGTGGAGAGAATACTGAGTTCAGCTTTAAAACACTGGCTTCGGGACAGCCTTTGGAAACAGAGATTAGAATTGACCAGAAAAAGAATCTACAACTCAAGACAGATGTTAGGAATGAAGAGCAAGATTTAGGAGTCATCCAAACATACAGGCGACAGTAGAAGAAGAATGTGACTCATGGGGACTGTGTACAGTGTGGGGAGAGCCAAACGGCACCCAGAAGAACCTCCCTACATTTGAGGAGCTAGGAGGAAGAGGAATCAGGAAGAAAGCAAGCACAGAGGGAGTGGTTGTAGGAAAACCAGGAAAGAATGGAAGACAGCAAGGTGTTCCCACTGAGAGTTCAGAGCACTGTCCGAGAGGAGAGATCCAGGAAGAGGGAGACAGAAACAGCCACGAGGGACTCTTCCGGAGACCGAAGGGGCGGAAGTCAGCCTGCAGAGGACGGAGGCACGATGGTGGTCAGAGGAAGGCACAGAGAGTGGATGGCCCTTGCCAGGACGGCTGTTTCCCAAGGTGTGGCAGAGGTACCTGCGGGTATTCAAGATGGTGTCAGGTGGTTCACAGAGAAATGATTTCTGCCTTCTTCACTGTGTTATTGTGCCTTGATGGCACAAAAGCAATGGAGGGGAAACTCGCTGGCATCTTAGCCAGGCCAAGGCAGTGGGCAGTGATGCCAACCTGCACTGGCAGTCAATGCGTTCTTCAACCACCATGTACTCACAGTGGACACCATGCTGGGTTCACCTAGAGTGTCTTCAATGAAGCAGTCAGTATTACTAGTCATATTAAATCTCAATCTTTGAGTACACGTCTTTCTAACATCCTGTGTGATGAAATGAGAATTACGAATAAACCACTTGTGCTGCCGTACAATGGTTGTCTTGAGAAAAAGCATTTGTGCCATTGTTCGAGCTGAACTATCTCTTTTTTTTCTTGGTGAGGAAGACTAGCCCTGAGCTAATGTCTGTGTCAATCTTCCTCTATTTTGTACATGGGACACTGCCACAGCATGGAGTGATGAGCAGTGCAGAGGTCCACACCCGGGATCCAAACCTGCGGACACTGGGCGGCCAAAGCAGAGCGCACGAACTTAACCGCTATGCCACTGGGCTGGCCCCCTGAACTATCTTTTTTACAGAACACCATTTTTACTTGAAAGAATGACAGACATATAGACAACGGTTATTCCAAATTAAGTATTCAGTAGACATTTTCTCAAAAATAAACAAAGTGAGCCTGTCATGTCAAGGAAAACAACTGACACTATTTGTTGCCAAGGATAAAACTAGAGCCTTCAAGGGCCGCCACGTGGCCGAGTGGTTAAGTTTGCGCGCTCTGCTTCGGCAGCCCAGGGTTTCGCTGGTTTGGATCCTGGGCGTGGACACGGCACCGCTCATCAAGCCATGCTGACATGGCACCCCATATGCCACAACTAGAAGGATCCACAACTAAAAATATACAACTGTGTGCTTGGGGGCTTTGGGGAAAAAAAGGAAAACCAAAATCTGTAAAAAAAAAAAAAAAAAAAAAAAAACAACCACAAAACCTAGAGCTTTCAAGCAAAAATCTCAATTTTTGTAAACCACCGTTAGTTTGACATATTTCCCAATACTTAAAGACGTTTCTGGGGCCAGCCTAGTGGCACAGTGGTTAAGTTCACATGCTCCGCTTTGGTGGCCAGGGGTTCACAGGCTCAGATCTCTGGTGTCGACCTACACACTGCTTGTCAAGCCATGCTGTGGTGGCATCCTACATACAAAGGAGAGGAAGATGGGCATGGATGTTAGCTCAGGGCTAATCTTCCTCAAGCAAAAAGAGGAAGATTGGGGAGAGGTTGTGCAGAAAAGGGAACCGTCTTGCACTGCTGTTGGGGATGCAAACTGGTGCAGCCACTATAGAAAACACTAAGAGATTTCTCAAAAAATTAAAAATGAAAATACAATATGACCCAGCTATCCCACTACTGAGCATCCATCCAAAGAATGTGAAATCAACAATTCAAAGAGATTCATGCACCGCTATGTTCACTGCAGGATCATACACAATAGCCAAGATGTGGATGCAACCCAAGTGCCCATCAACTGATGAATGGATAAAGAAGATGTGGTATACATATACAATGGAATCTACTCAGCCATAAAAAAGACAAAGCCATCCCATTCTCAACATGGATGGACCGGGAGGGTACTATGTTAAGCGAAATAAGCCAGACAAGGAAGGACAACCACCATATGATTTCACTCATATGTGGAAGATAAACACATGGAAAAGAGAATAGATTAGTGCGTACCAGAGGGGAAGGGGGTTGGAGGGACACAAGGGGTAAAGGGGCACATTTATGTGGTAACTGACAAATAATAATGTACAACTGAAGTTTCACAACGTTATAAACTATTATAATCTCAATAAAAAAACAGAAGAGGAAGGGGGCTGGCCCCGTGGCCGAGTGGTTAAGTTCGCACGCTCCGCTGCAGGCGGCCCAGTGTTTCGTTGGTTTGAATCCTGGGCGCGGACATGACACTGCTTATCAAACCACGCTGAGGTGGCGTCCCACATACAACAACTAGAAGGACCCACAACGAAGAATATACAACTATGTACCGGGGGGGCTTTGGGGAGAAAAAGGAAAAAATAAAATCTTTAAAAAAAATAAAATAAAAAAAAAACAGAAGAGGAAGATTGGCAAGAGATGTTAGCTCAGAGCCAATCTTCCTTACCAGAAAGAAAAAAAAAAGATGTTTCTGACATTGATGTTAACATTAATGAATATGATTTTTTGATATTCTATAATAAAATGTGTCACCATTTGGAATACCTGCATAACTTAGTGTACCAATATTTTCCAAATGACCAATGCATGATGTTACAAAATCATGCACGGGTACAAGATCCATTTAAAATGAAAGATCGAGTGGATTTTAATATAATAGAGTACAGAAAGTTTGCTGGTATGCTTTCAGATTCCACACTGAAACTAACCTTTACAACACTACCACACTGTTGTGTTTTGATGTAGTATCAAAGAAGAATACCCAAAGTTATATAAAAAGGCTATTACAATACTCCCCCTCTTCCGACTACACATCTGTGCAAAGGCTGGCCTTCCTCCGTGTGCTCCAACCAAAACAACATTTCAAAAGAGGAGGAACGCGGGAGCACGTGAGAGAATCCAACTGTCTTCTATGAAGTCAGACACTGAAGTGATTCGAAGAGATGTAAAAGCAATGCCACTCTTACATTTTTTGTTTTGGAAAAGGTGGCTATTTCTTATTAAAAAAGGTTATTTACTTTAACATGTAATAGGCTTATTATTGTTATTTCAAATGAATTAATAAGTAAATTTTTTAAAAGGTTTTCAGTTTTAACCTCTAATTTACAAGTATCAATGGATACAACCCACATAAACAAAAGCTTGTTGGGGTCCTCAATAATTTTTAAGAGTGAAAGGAGTCCTAAGACCAAAAGGTCTGGAAGTTTGGAAAGAAAGAAAGAAAGATGGATAGAAGGAAGACTAAACAGTAATCATAATAATTAACTGCTAATATTAATCAAGTGCTGGGCACTTCTCTAGGCCCTTTGAAAGTCTGGACCACTTACTCTCCTTATAAACCCTATGAAGGACAGACAACACTGGGAAGAGGGTGCGCTGTTGGTCCCGCTTTACAGACGAGGAGACTACAGCACAGGAAAACGGAAAGTCGTCCACCCGACGTCACACAGCCTATGAGTGGAGAAGCCAGATTTGGGGGTTCAAAGGCAGGCACCAGGACTCCAGAGCTGTGCTCTTGGTCGGGACTGTTCTAGAATGAAAGATAGTTTCGTATGTTTGAAGGCAAAGGAGGGAAAGACTGAATTGTGAGAAACGTTTTTTTAATAATTTCATACTATAACAAATTGTCAAAAGAAGACAAAAACTGAGCACCAAAAATGCAGCCGTCACGCTAATATGTAAGGAATAAACAGAGCTTCTAATATACAGAATATCGAGTATCTATTAAACGTCCAAGTGAATGAAGCTTGACATAAGGATGTCTTTGAGTTACTTACTCTGAAAAATAATCCATAAACTGCTGAGGATTTTCTGACGCCAGCAATAGTTGTCTCTGATGAGATTCAGACATACAATGACACTTAAAGCCATTCTACAAAAATGCAAAGGCAACAGTTAAACTCCAGTTTAGATCATCGGAATGGGCCCTAAATAGAAGTATTTAGTTAAACCCTAAAAGCTGCTCTCTGATGATAAACTGTAAATAATCATCATCATCATCAAATCACTAGCTGTCAGCACTGTACAGTTTTTTAAAAAATTTTTTATGAAGTTGAGGTTTGCAACCCTACTGATCAAATAATAATCCTAGAGAGTAAAGAAACAGAAAAATAGTGCTTTAGAAAACAGACATTAGTAAGAAACCTTACTGGGCACAGTAACAGAGGAGAGATTTCATTTTTTTGGTCAATTTAACAAATTCTTACTGAGCACCGACTTCACAGAGTGTTACACAGGTGCTTTGAGGAATATAGTGAAGTACAATGAGTCTTCAGTGAATTTCCATTAAGGAAACTATTTTCCACTCACTTTCCTCCACTTTAGTGCATTATCCAAAATACACTGTTGAATGTTACATATACCTTACGTTAAGCAGACTAAATCTGTATCCTCTTCCGAGGACTGTAAAACACAGAAGTGTTGACTTCATATCCATTCCACTTAACAGGTGAACCTGACTCTTCACTTCTATTAGTAATCTAAATGCAAAACGTGCCTCTCCTCCTGTATTCCCCATCTCAGTGAGCAGCATAACCAAAGAGCCCATCACCCCAGCCAGGGTGGAGCACCGCATCCTCGAGTCCTGCACCTCTGCACTCCGTTTATCACTAAGTCAACTCAGCCTTCTTAATAACTCTTAGCCAGTCCCTCTGCTCAATGCCCCTGCCACTGCCAGGATTTCACACTGGATCCTGCTTAGTTTCCTAATCCTTAGTCACCCACAGACTATCTACACTCTTTTTGTCTCATCTGCGTACTACCTGTGCATTACTCTTAGTTAAATTTATCTTCAAAAGAAACTTGGTATCAGTCTCATAAATGAAAAACCAGTCCTATTTTCCATAAATTAAAAATAAGTCAATAAAATGACAACAAAATACTGTTATGAAATTGTAGAAATCCCAGGGAGTGGATGGGCAGGAGGAAAATACCCTGGATCTGGCCTTCCTCTCTCTCTCAATCTTCCAATACTGACACATAGAAGACAGGGGAGGGAACTTACAGGTGTCACCTTCTCCTCCCCTAGGCCACCCTCCCAGGTAGGGAAGGGCCATGAACAGATCTGAGGGCAAACCGGCCAGGAGCACCACAAGTGCCTTACTCTGAAAGCTGAAGGGAAAGAATAAGCATTTATCTTCCCTTTCCCAAGGGGACTGTATTTTAGGATAACATTTGAGGATAACCCAATAGCCCTAGTTGATGAGAAAAAAGCTCATTTTTACAAATGAATGGCAGCTGATAATAAATGGCAAAAGAATTAGAAAAATAACCACTTTGCAACTCCTAATGAAATAACTGACTCAGGCAAGGATGCTAAAGACATAGGTAAAAGGTTGATGGGAAACTAGATATGTGGGCGTGTTTCCAAAGTCTTACCCCACTAGTTACTTGTTCTTACAAGAGGGAAAATGTTACTTTCTAACATTACTTTACAGGCTGTCATCTTTACTCAATCATTTTAGGATTACTAGACATTATGGGCTTCCTTATGTGACGCAATATGAAATACACTGGATCACCTATGAAGATTTCTTCCCGAAAATGTTTAACCTGAACCTGATCAAGCCCTTAGATCTAAGTTCCAATTTACAGAAACTACAAGAGTGAGAGAAAGAAGACAAAACACAATCACAGGGAGACAATCCTACATATCCAGAAAGTGGGAATGCCCCACTATAACTGACTGGCCTATTCAAGTCAAAGTCAAGAAAAAAAATTGGGGGTTGGGGAGTGGCAGGTGGAGGCTATAGGGTGGGGGAAGTGGGTTCTATTCTAAATTTAGAGAGCATTAAAAGTCCTAATAACCTGGAGTACAGAGATTTTTAGGGCAGTGAAACTACTCTGTATGATACGACAACGGTGGATACATGTCATTAAACCCACAGTACAACACTATGAGTGAACCCTAATTATGATAATGACATGTCAGTGTAGCTTCCTGACTGTAACAAACATCCCACTCTGCTGTGGGATTTTCACAGTAGGGGAATCTACACATAAATGGGGGCAGGTGTGTTTGGGAAATCTCTGTACCTTCTGTTCATTTCTGCTGTGAACCTAAAACTTCTCTAAAAATTAAAGTCTGTTTTTAAAAAAGTCCTAATAACCAAATCTAATTCACGGTTTTTGATTGGATCTTGGTTTAAAAAAAAAACTGCTTTAAAAAGCATTTAGGGGAAGAACTGAGGACATACGAGTATGGAGAGTGGATCAGATGATATAAAAGAATTTTTTTTAACTCTGTAATGTGTGATGACGTATATTGTAGCTACGTAGAAAAACGACCTGATATTTTAGAGATGCATATTTAAGTATTTAGAGGTGAAATATCCTGATGTTTGTAATTTACTTTAGACTATTTCAGAAAAAAGTAAATACAGCAAAATACTTAAAATGTTAAATCTGAGTAGAGATATCCGGATGTTCATTGTACTAGTCTCTAGTGTCCTGTGTGAGAATTTCACCTTGACTTAGAAAGAACTAAAGAGAAATGAAAGAGAATAAGTGTATCAATGTTATTCAATGGGAGCCCCACCTAAAATATCCCATCCCTCACTTGCAGAAAAAAATGGATTAGATTATTCCGGTTGCCCAATGCTCTTCTGCCCCTACCCAATTCAATCTCCAGGGAAAAATATGATCACATGACTAGCCTGCTCTCAATTCTTCAAGGCGCTTCATCCACCTCATTAATGGGAAAAAGTGTAACTTCATACCACGGCATACAACGCTTTTCAAGATCTGCCCAAAGACCCCGAGTCACTTTATACATGATTCACTCATTTAAAAGTCACAACAATCTTACAAGCAGATATAGCTATTATTCCTGCTTTACAGATCAGTAAACGGGCACACAGAAGGTGAGTAACTTGCCCAAGACCACACAGCTAATAAGTGGCACGACTAGGCTTCATAATTCTGACAGTCTGATCCCAGAGTCCGCATCTTCGCCACAATAATATTCTGGGCCTGCCACATTGTAGGTGCTCAATAAATACCTGTTAGATGACTGGTGTGCACGAGCTTAGTTCTCCTTTTGCATCTGATCCCGCAAAGAGGTGTGAACCCTAATCATCTCCAAGAGTCATGCCAAGTCAGAGACGACTGCTATTGTTATTGCCCAGGCGCCAGCACTTCAGTATTCGCGCCTCCGGTTTATGACAGCTTGAGTAGGATCACTTCTACGAGAGCTGCAAAGCCTTTCCTAACTTCATTTCTTTTGGGGGCAGCCTGGGGAGGAATGCGGTGTCAAAGACCCCTGGTTCCCCGCTGGGACAGGGGCTGCAGGGAAGGATGGCCCTACTGAGTTGGGCAGCAGACTCGCCCAGGACAGACCCCACGACCGGGGACCTGGGACCCTCGCCGGCACCCCCAGCCTCAGGGACCTGACCTGGATCGGCGGGCCCCCCGGGGAAGAGGACGGGGCGTGGACAGGGGGGACCTACCTCGTCCCGGCACTGCTTCTGGCACATCTGGCAATACCAGCGCAGCTTCTGAAGCCCCTTGGACTTGATCCTGTTGGCGATGGCCTTCGGGGTAAGAAAATCCGACTTGCCCATCGCGACCACCCCAGCGACAACTTTCTGGAGCCCAGCGCCCTGCCAACCGGAAGCGGAACCGGGCTGGCGGAGGTGGGCGGGGCAAATACCACCGGCTAGCCGGAAGGAGGTGGGGGCTCGGAAGGCCGGGCCCCAACGCTCGCGAGGCTTCCCTCCCTGCTGGCGGGAGGAAGCGAGACTGAGGGAGAAAGCGGGGCGGGAGGGGCGCGCGGGGAAGCTTCCGCGCCTGCGCGCTGCGGCCTGTCTGACCGACCTTCAGCGGGGCCGGTAGCACCATGTTCTCTCGGGCGGGTGTCGCTGGGCTGTCGGCCTGGGCCGTGCAGCCGCAATGGTACGGCAGCTTGCGGGGGGAACCGGAGGGATGGAAGAGATCGGTCAGGGGGAAGGGGAAGCGGGCGGAGGCGAGTGGGCGGAACGGGGGTCGCAGGGCCGGCCGGGCCTCCGTCCCTGGAGGCCCCTGGAGGCCCCGGGTGGCCGGGCTGCAGGAAGCGCCTCGGAGCCGGGAAGGGCGCGCAGAGGGGCTGGAGGGACTGCAAGGTCGCGCCACGTCCGTGAGCCGGGGCGGGGGGAGGGGCACGAGGGCCGCTCACCTTGGACCCCGGGGTCGAGACCTTGGTCCGAATGGATTTCAGGGCGGTCTTGGATTCGTTCAGCTCATTACTACTTAGGGAGCTTGCAGCGTGCCAGGCAGCGAGGATGCTAGAGCCTTTGCCTGGGCCCGAAAGGGAGGGGGAGCGGAGGACCAAGGTCTCGGGGAAGGTTAAGTTGTGCTTTCTGTCCTTGACGCCCTTTGAAACCCTCCATCCAGGGCTGGGCTGCGTTAGTGCAGAGCGCAGGGACGCTTTAAGAGCTCTGCGATCCCGCTCTAACGTGCGGTCGGGGCCAAGGATGGGGCAGGCGCTTTGCTGGACATTGGCGACTAAAATGAGTGCCCTCGTGGGCTGCAAAAGGGACCTTAACAATCTGTCTGTCGGCGAGGAAGGGAAAGACACTCAGCACTGTCTTGAAACCATAATGCTGAAGCAGTAGCCCTGCAAGGTCATGAAGTCGTCCCCAGGTCCCCCGGAGGAGATCGAGGGACTTTTGAAGTGTCATCTGTGAACTGCCATGCCAGTTTTAAAGGTTTTAAACATGGATCCCTGAGAAAAATTGCTTATAAGAAGGGCTAGGAATGAGCAGATTAAAGTTGGTTTGTGGGTGATATAATAGGATGAAATGTCTTGAAGCTAGACAGTGTCTGGGAGAATTTCAGACGCAGTGCTAAGGGGATTAATAGTTAGAGGCTGTGTGTAGCAATTCCCTGGTTTTACAGTATCCTAATATATGCGAAGGGACTAATTGAAATAGGCACGTTTTTTATTAAGCAGAGAATTAATAACAAGACAGAATTTTCAGGGTAATGAGGTAATTAAATGTGAAGTTCCTACATAAAAATGTTGGTGGATTTGCGTTGGAAGTCAGTTTTTTTTCCTTCTTCTGATATTGAAAAAGAGTCTTCGTGGGAATGAAGAAGTCGCCTTAGTTGAATGGCAGGTTGTACCGTTTCTTAATAGCTCAGCAGACATTTTTTGAGTGCCTGCCCTGCCACAAGTTGGCACTGTGGAAAGTGCTAAAACGTGATGGTAAACAAAAAGACATGGTCCTAGTGAGCTTGCGGGACTGTTCCTGGCGTGCACGCAGTGGTGCTCAGCTCACATCAGCTCTCCTTCCTTCCTTCCTTCCCATCTTGCTGTGCATTAACATTACCTGTCGGTGTTTTTAGACCCTTAAGTGGTATCCAAGTTGATCTTTAAAAAATGGAAAGAGTTTCTGAAATGAGGACAAAATATTTTATATAAAATTGTAGAAATAACTTTTTTAAAACATCCTGTTAGACAATTTGAAGATCTTCCAATAAAGAATTGTTTTAAATAGAAGCTCCCTCTGAATCTGAGACACCTACCAATAGGGGCCTAAATTGGAACCTCCATCAGCCAATAAAGGTCAGGGTCCTGACCTTAATCTCTTTGGAATGTTAGTTTTAAATTAGTAGGTTATGAATATTCATCAGACATCAGTGTTCCACTGTGCAAGGCATTTTCACAGTGTCTGATGTCTTTCCCACCTCTTCTGTCCTTTCGCTTCCCATTCATTTAAATGCCGTTAAAATTCAGAAATTGAAACCATCTTAATGTTTCACACTCCACAGAATTAGCTTGAAAGAGGAGAAAAATACCTTTGCTTTTACAGAACCATGAAGAAGCATTTCCTTGGTTCTGTTTTGGTCATTGAGAGCTTTTAAAAGTGTGATTTGTTATTGTTAACAGTTTTTGCTTCAGGGGGGTTGGCCTATTAACATTAAACATTAGGCTTAATGACATCGTAGTGAAATTGTTTTAATTGTTGTTTAGGGTATCAGTAAAATACCCTAAAGTTTTGGAAATTAAACGTGTTCTTTAAAAAGTAGTATTTAAGAAAATGGAAATAAGAAATTTGGGGGAAGAGTCTCTGATTTTTCTGTCTTCAAATCGGGAGAAAATATATTTGGCTTAGTTTTCCGCATTCTCTAAAATAGAACTATTTTATAATAGGAGACTGGTGGCCATAATTGAACTATATATACACTGAAAAGGAAGAATTAGCAGATGCTGTGTCCTCCTTAAGTTTTATATTTTACCACATTATACTCTCCTTAAAATTCTTTCAAGCTGCCTGTAATTTCTTTGGTGATAAATCATTCATCTAGCAACCTCTCTGACTCACTCCTCCACTGCCTTCTCCAGCTTTTCTAACAATGCTGTATGATCATAGTAGATAATGATAATCCACCATCTGTGTGTTTTTCCACCCACCGTATTTACTACGTTTCTGGTTTTCAAATCATCTTCTGAGGATTTCTCAGGACACGATGCAGAGCATACAGCTGATTCAGAACTTTATCTTTTCGTTTGCAAAAATTGTATATTGAATAGAGCAGGCTCTGCCTAAGGAGTTTGGATCAGCTCATGGTTATTTTGTACTCAAATGGTACTTAAAAAATAAAGTTGTAACATGCATAGACATCTTTAGAACTAAATGAAGGCTAAGCATGAGAGTGCTTCAGAAAGGGGGAATTACGGCAAGTGCACAGCATAGAGAATCACGAAAGATCCTCTCTCTTCGTTCCTCTCACTTGGGATCCTTATGGAAACCAAAACATTCTGAGTTCGTCCAATTATGGCATGCAATTCAAATTTGTTCCATATGATGTTCTCTGACTAGAAGCTTGTGTCAGTTAAATTGGAGTGTCTGCCTAAAACCATAATGTCCAAATGTCACTCCTTATAGTCTATAAATTTTGGGGTGAAAAATTCATTATACCAAAAAAGGAAAATCGTCCAGAACGTGGTGTTACTTTTCAAGTTCCATTATGAAAAAACTGTTAATAGAGTGATGGTTGTCAGATAAGTCTGTATCTGCAATAGCGGTTTGTCAGTATCGACAGCTTTTATCTTTTCCTTTAGTGGATCCATTCTTATAACCAAACCTACTATTTTCCATATAGTTTCCCTCTTATTTTCTTTATTTTTCTTTCTCGATGGCTGAGAAGAACCAGTAGTGAGATATATAAATGAAGAGATTTTTGAAAATAACTTTTTCAGTTATGACCTTTCAGACTCATTTTTATGCAGATAAATACATATAATCACAAAAATGGGATCATATAACATTTCATAACCTGCATTTTTTAAGTTATTAATAATAGACTTTATTTTCTAGTACAGTTGTAGATTTTTAGAAAAATTGAGCATATAGTACAGAGCATTGCATGCACCCACACCCTCTCTGGACAGTTTCCCCAGTTAGAATCTTGCGTTGGTGTGGTATATGTACTACAATTAATGAACCAGTATTGATACATTATTAACTAATGTGCATAGTTTCATTAAGGTCCCTCTTTTGGTATACAGTCCTATGGGTTTTGACAAATGCGTAATGACATGTATTTTCCATTACAGTGTCATACAGAATAGTTTCATTGCCCTAAAAATCTCTTCCCCAAAAGCCTGGCAAGCACTGATCTTTTTACTCTTGGTATAGTTTGTCTTTTCTGGAATGTCATATAGTTGGAATGAGACAGTGTATAGCCTTTTCAGATTGGCGGCTTTTGCTTAGCAATATGCAGTTAAGGCACCTCCATGTCTTTTTGTAGCTTGATAGCTCATTTATTTTTATTGCTGAGTGCGTAATACTCCATTGAATGGATGTACCAGTTTGTTTATCCATTCATTCGCATATTGAAGGACATCTTGGTGGCTTCCAGTTTTAGCAATCGTGAATAAAGCTGCTGTAAACATTCATGTGCAGGTTTTTGTCTAGACATGTTTTCAGCTCCGTTGGGTAAATTCCTAGGACCATGCTGCTGGATCATGTATTAAGACTGTCTTTAGGTGTGTAGCAAACTGCCAGACCATCTTCCAAAGTAGCCGTACCATTGTGCATTCCCACTGTCAATCGCTGAGAGTTCCTGGTGCTCCACATCATTGTCATCGTTTGGTATTCTTTAAAATTTTAGGCATTCTTATAGGTTTGTAGTGATATCTCATTGTGTTAATTTGCAATTCCCTAATGACATGGATGTCGAGCATCTTTTTATATGCTTACTTGCCATCTGTATATCTTCTTTGGTGAGGTACATGTTATCTTTTGCTCATTTTAACTTGTGGTGTTTGTTTTCTTATTGTCGAGTTTTAAGAGTTCTTTCTGTATTTTGGATAACAGTCCTTTATCAGATATATATTTTTCCCACCGTGTGGCTTGTGTTTTCATTCTCTTAAGTGTGTCTTCTGCAGAGCAGGGGTTTTTAAAACCAATAAAGTCTAGCTTATCAGTTTTTTTTTATGGATCATCCTTTTGGTGTTTTATCTAAAAACTCATAGCCAAACCCAAGGCACCTAGATTTCCTCCTGTGGTATCCTGTAGAAGTTTTATAGTTTTGTGTGTTATATTTAAATCCATGATTCATTTTGAGTTAATTTTTGTGAAAGATGTAGGATCATTGTTCAGATTAATTTTGCATAAGGATGTCCAATGTTCCCACACCATTTGGTAGAA